TATCTATCTATCTATCTATCTATCTATCTATCTATCTATCTATTTATCTATCTATCTATCATCATAATCCATCACCTATCTATCATCTATCTAAAAACCTATCTATCTTTCTATCTATCTATCTATCTATCTATCTATCTATCTATCTATCTATCATCTATCTGTCATCTATATATGTCTGTCTCAAAAGTCCTGCGCAGATGCAGTAATAACATAGTCCTCTATAAGCCAGTACCATCACCATGCTGTTTAATCTAGGAAGTCTGGGCTCTTGTGTTAGGACAGCCCTGGCAGACTAACAGAAATACTGCATTCACTACCCTCCTCCCCGACCCCCATAGCTACTTAGAATCTTCTAGTATTCAAATCATATTCATCGTCTCTCTCATTTTGTCACTGATTTTTCCTCTCTTAGTAATTGTCCTAATGCCACCAAGTCCTGATAGGTCAGTGGCTCTGTGTGGTCAAGTAGGTTCAACAGCACTCATCATCTACTTCCTGAATCCATCCACTCATTCACTTGTGTGAGTGTTAAGCACCTACTACGTGCCAGGTAGGATTTGTGTTTACATTCCGTAATAACTTTTCATTGAATTTGTGGTGGTTTTAACTCAAGCCAATGCTGCACCCAAAACTATGGCCCACTTCCTCACAATGCTTCCATCTGCTCCCCCTTCCTGTAAACAGTCCCTCCTGCTCCCATCTTGAGCCTGCATTAGCTCACTGCTTTGCACACTCAAGCAGTGGCCATGTCCCTTCTCGATGGAGAAGTCCCTGGGATTCTTGGATCTCATATAGGTTTTTAATTTTATTATTATGTGGTGTATTCAATGTTTTGTCTTATTACGATGTTCCTGAATCACGTGGATATGAAATTCTCATGCTCACAATTCTTCAACAGTTTTTCAACCCACACATTAAGAAATTGATACCAGCAGGGCTGTAAAACTGTACAATCTAATTCATCAGCATTCATTGCCTGTGATAGACAGTGCTGCTGTGTGAATGATGCATCCCTGCTCATTCCATGGGGGCAGCGGCTGCCTGCCCTTCAGGTCATTCGGTTTTGCAGACTCCTGGGTTCCCCACCATTTACCATGAGCAGATTCCACGGGACCTTTCAGGCCAGCCTGGCCCAGATGACCTGGTGCTGTCTGAGAACACATCATTCTGAGTTCGCTTGGCTTCTGTTCTCTGCCCAACTGCACTCTCAGATTAAAAGAGCTATAGTTGATGTCAGCAGGCTTACCACTGAAGTTAAGTTCTTATCGATGGTTATAAAACAAAGGCAGCGGGATATAAATTTTTAGATTGACACCAAAACAAAAACAAAAGCAAAAATCAATTCTTGTTGTTTTTCTTTTTCTTTTTTTCATTTTTTTTTTTTTTTGGTTTTTCAAGACAGGGTTTCTCTGTGTAGCTTTGTGCCTTTCCCTGGAACTCGCTTTGTAGACCAGGCTAGCCTCGAACTCACAGAGATCCACCTGCCTCTGCCTCCTGAGTGCTGGGATCAAAGGCATGCGCCACCACCACCTGGCCAATTCTTGTTTTTCATGAACCTAAACATTATGCCCATATCCCCATGGAGACAGGAGCTCTCACACAGAGAGACTCTGTCTGTCAGCCACCCAACCCCCACATCTCCATTCTGCTTTACACGCTAGTTTGTTGCTTGGACAGGAGAAGTAGGAACCCCCAGATTCATCCACAGAAGGTGGTGGTTAAGGCACAAATGGTCCAAACCCCAGCAGGGATCCTGGAGTGTCAAAAGACTATAGCATAATCCAGAATGAGCCCTTGACCGTGTGGTCTTCAAGTCTGGCTCTCCTTTCCTGGGTCTCAGTGACTTTGCAATGCTTTTAAGATTTTGCTTTCCTCGGTTTTTGCTGCCTGGATTAGTCAGGTTTGGCCTCTGCTCATTATAGATTTAAAAATCCAGATAGATTAGCATCAACCCCAATAAGTCTCCATATCAACAGGGACAAACAGCTTCTGTAGTGGAAGGTGAAATGGGCGACCTGCTCATTCATGTGCACAGGTGGTCTGAGGTTAGGGGCTCACCAACTGGGCCTTGGGTTTGTGCAATGCGGTACCATACTCCCGGTGTATCTACCTCACCAAATAGCTATCCAAGAAAGAGAGGGACAGTGAGCAGGCTCCCTTCCACATCCTTGTCAGTGAAAATCACAGCTCAGGATGGGGACACACATTAATGTACAACACAAACACCTTCACTGTTGTATGGAAAGATGCTTTCCTACATAGGAATGTACTCTTTCTACCTTTGCACACTATGGTGGATTGAATAAAAATGGCCCCCATAGACTCATATTTGAATGCTTGGTCACCAAGGAATGGCACTATTAGAAGGTGTGGCCTTGTGGGGGTGGGGGTGGCGTTGTTGGAGGAAGTGTGTCACTGGGGGGTGGGCTTTGGAGTTTCAAAGGCTCAAGCCAGGCCCAGTGTCTCACTTCCTTCCTGCTGCCTTCAGATGATCCAGATGTAGAATTCTCAGCGAATTCTCAAGCATCATATCTGCCTGCATGTCACCATGCTTCCCACCACAAAAATGGACTAAACCTCTGAACTGTAAGCCAGCCCCACTTAAATGTTTTCCTTTATAAGAGTTGCAATGGTATTGGTGTCTCTTCACAGCAATAGAACCCTAAGACACACACTAAGTGGCAACAGCTAACATTTATAGTGCCCTTGCTCCATGCCAGACACACTACACCATCCTGAAAAGCAAGTACAGGGATCAAGGTACCATCTGGTAAAAGGAGAAATGGCCAAGTGCCAGATTAAAGTCCTTTGCCCGAGGTCACACAATGAGTCAGTCAGGATAGGCCATGGAATACATTGGAAACAAACATCGCCAGAGTCAGTAGCTAAGACAACAAAGGGTCCTACCCATGCCACCTTCCATCAGTCCATCACGGGTTGGTACGTGCTGCAGCCCACAGTGGCTTCACCGGGGATCACAGGCTGGTCGGTTTGACATCTAGGAGAGTGACAGAGGTAAGGAAATGAGCAAACTGTGCCCCAGAAATGAGGTCCTCTCTGGTATCGACATCGCATGGGACAAAGCAAATCATACGTCCAAGTCTGACCTCGAGGAGGTGGGAAGAACAGTGGACCGTGCATCAGAAAGAATAACAGTATTGGGATGCCTAGCAGGGGAGTATCAGGGAGGAGTTGGGGTGCACATAGACAAGATGCATTATTTACATGTATGAAATTGTCAATGGCTAAATAATAAAAGCTATTCTATTTAAAAACAAAGAAAAGGGGAAATGGGATATGGATGGGCTGGCCTGATGGAGCCACCACCTGGGTTGTGCTTGCTCAAGAATGCTTGATCTCTCCTTCCCTCCCTCCCCCTCTTCCTTCTCTCTTCACCTGCTCTCTTTCTATCTCTGTACCCATCTCAGTCTCTTTCCCTCTCCTCTCCCTCGCCTTTCTCTATGTCAATTAACCCTTTGGCAACCAAAGAGATAGGAAAAGAAAGAAAGCTCTATTCCCTGGTCCTTCACTCCACACTAACATGCAAAATCTGCACAATGACTTGAAAACAGTGTACTTAGACTGATGTGAGGATCATTAATACACTGCTCAAAATGCCACCACAATTCAGTCTTCAAAAACAGCCCCTCAGGGATGTGCTGTATAAATCGTTACAAGATGACTCCCCCTTCCCCAACACATCAAGTCATTTTAAGTCAATTTTGCTTTGAAGTAATTCATTAGTTTGGATTTTCATTAGATTTTTAAAATAAATGATGACTGTTTTGAATACATTCATTTTGCATGATTGTATTTCCCAAGTAAAATGCAATAATCTGCTGAAATCATTACAGGGTAGTTCTATTTAGGGGAAAATAAGAACACCTTAATTTTAACCACATAAATAACCAAATAAGCAAATAGTTAAGGCTATATGAGACATCAAATACAAGGTATTCACACATCTCACATATACCCCATGGTGCTCCCATAGGAAACTCCATTTCTTTAATTCCCCAGGCAGACATATTTGCAGGCAGATAGATGACAGTTGGGGACACATCTACTCTTAGTAACCCAACACCAGATCTTCTTTCCCAGCCATCTCTACACTGGGACTTGGAGACAGTTTGATTCCAGAACTCTCTTCCCTCAGGGCAAACTCTTTCCTCAGAAAGGAACATGGAGCCCACAGTGGTCACAGCTCTAAAGTCGCAGCTGGAAGGCCCAGCTTCAGGACACTCCACATGACTTCATGGGCAATGGTGCAGCCTGAGCCTGAGTCTGTAGCCTGTAGTCTGTGTCATCTTGAGTAGTCCACTGCTGTGCTTGGGCGTTCATTTTCAGTTTTGCGGAACGAGGGGCCCCCTGCCTGTGTGTATTAAAACTCTTCTCCTTGCTGTGACCAAGTATCTGGCTAAAGCAACCTAAGCAAGTGTTTTGTTGTGTTCACAGTTTGAGGGATATAGATGTAACTAACCGTCTTATTAAATAAGAAACACAGAAACAATGTAAAAGAGAAAGCTGAGAGGTCAGAGCTCAGAGCTAAAATCTCACCCTTCCTCCTGCTGTCCCAGCTTCTCG